CCTTTTATTTGCATAGTTGTTGAACTTAATGAACTAAGTATAGCCCTGTATTTTAGTCTTTAGTCTCACCTGAATTTTGTATTAAAGCCAGTAACATTTCCTAATGGAACAACACTGCTGGACCCCACTATAGGGGATTGGTTTTCTTAGCTTTTTCCCCTGCTCATATCTGGCAAGAATATTTAAATGTTATAGCAAAATCACAGTAGTAGCTCTAGTCTTCGAAAGTGTGCATGTCTTTATTAAGAATTTTAGTTGAATAATACGTTTGCTCTGGTATGGTTATCAGTAATGAATGTACTGGTCTATGGTCTGAGAAATCTCAGCTGCAAGTTGGTGCATTTGTGCCCTTAATGCTCAGCTAGTCTTGTGGGCATTTGGGCATTTGGCTAATGTAAGCTGCTTTGGATGAAATCATCAGCAAAAATGCATGTGTATACATATGAGGACAGGCTGGTGTGTGTGTGTGTGTGTGTGTGTGTGTGTGTGTGCGTGTGTTTGCGTGTGTGTGTGTGTGTGTATGTGGGAGTAGGTGAATCAGAGATGTGCCCTTTGTTTCAGTGGAGTTGTGTCTTTAATTGCATGTGGTGCTGCAGCAGAGTTGAAATGTCAGTGAGATGGTGAGAGGCCCTCCTGTAGCGAGATTCACACTGCGCCGTGCAGTGTGATAACGACCCAAACGGAAGGAGGATTATAATCCTCTCTCTCCCTTTTCCGTCCCTCCCTCCATCTCTCTCTCTCTCTCTCACACGCTCTCAACCGTCTCTCGCCCTCTCTCCTCTCTAATCTTCTGTTCCTGTGAAAAATGCAATCCTGCCACTTTATTCTCTACAACAATTTAAGTAAACTCTACATATAAGCTGACATGTTAGAGAGGTCAAAAAATAAGAACTCACTGAATGAGTGCTTAGAGTGTAAATGCCACAGACGTTTTTGTGCTTTAAGATAAATCTGAACCTTTGTGTGCATTAACGGGCCCACTTACGATGCTTTTTGTGGTTTTATATCATAATTAATTTTTACATGACCACTTTCAGCTTCTCTTTATCCCTTAGAATTAAATGAGCTCTGCTCTGACCGACTGCCGTGTCTTGTAGCAGTCCAGGCTGAAATACTCCATGCAAATTCAGTACCAGTTAGTGGGACTGAACTACTGTAGGCTCAATAGGCAGATGTATGTGTGTGAGTTGTATGTGTGGGCGCACAAAAGCAGTACATTGGCTATGTTTGCAGCTTAGTTTAAATACATGGACCGCATCGATTATTAGATTGTTGATTATCATATAGACAAATTCATTTTTCATGACATGGCCCCTTTAAAGGTGCTCCTTCATGTAACCCTGGTAATGAATGTGGTAACCCTACTACAATGAATGCATGAAGTTCTCAATGAGCTGTGGGTATTTCTCAATGCCGCGATAATTGATTGAGAAACTTCTTTATAATGCTTTCTTCATGCTCTTTCATGTGTGTACTGTAATTAATTAGCACATGATTATTAACAGACAGATTTCACATGTGAGAAAAGTGTGGTCTCCTTGTGACGGTCATTCCGGTGTCAGTGCGAGTGGGCATACGCACGCCCGCTGTGAGGAGACTGGTAATTAGACTAGTACAATTAAAAGCCCTGAATGTTCATAATTGCTCTGAACATCAAACTTTTCATTAGCAGGCTTTAAACTCATTAACCAGTGAGAGGAGAGGCGAAGCTGTGCCTAATAACACGAACGAGGGAGCGAGACTGAGATAGAGCTAAAAATGGACAAATCAGTGTGCTGAATTATAGTGGAGTTTAAAATTTGATGATTACAAGAAAAAAGTCATTAAAGCATAATATAAAAAGTGGGAATACAAAAGTGACCACTGATCCTGTGTGGGAGGGGAGGGGTGTGAAAATGAGTGATGATGCTGATTAGTGTGTTTCCATGCACTTTAAGGGAATGGTTTATGAAGTTCAAAGTAACATGTAAACACCTTTTTTTCTATTCTTTCATTTCTTTACTACACTTCAGAGCTACTCCTTGAATAAGCACTGGGAAAAATGTTTGTGGGAATGTTAATGGAATATTATAGCACGCAAGCACATTAGCAGGACTGAGAAAGAACAGAGGAATTACACTTAGGTGAATGTTTGAGTACTTTGTGAAAATTGTATTCAATTATATTCGAGGTTTGGAGCCAAAAATATACTAGTGAAAGTAAAAAGTATTAACATGTAAGCGTTACAACGTAAGTATATAAAAGTGTGTCTCATTGGATGCGCTTTGGAAAGTTCGGTGGCAAACTGGTTTCTGTGTTGAATTTGATTGAACAAAACAGAGCAGCAAAGTGGTAAATCCAGGCAGCTGAGGGCACTAAAGGTAACATGACATCACTGTTCTATGCGTAAGCAAACAGTGGCCACATCAGCGCAAAGCAGTTTTGCTGCTTATCATCTGAAAGCTACAACGGCGGTTTAGGGCCACTGTTAATAAAAATAAAAATAGTAGACTTCGAGTCATAATATTTCGAGAAAAAAGTCATAGTATTTCAAGAAAAAGATGCACAGTATGATATTTCGAGAATAAAGTTGTAATATTTCGAGAAAAAAGTCGTACTATTTTGAGAAAAAAAGTCGGAATATTTCAAGAAGAAAGTCATAGAATTTCAACATTAAAGTGGCATTAACACCAGGGAAGGTCGCAGTATTGTGGCCAAAGGATTTGGAAAGTGAAGGCAGCACCTCCTCGTGTTGAAATGAGGGCCGTTGAGGGGTTGGTGGACTTGTACTTTCATATCGGCTTCACCCATAAAGAAATAATTAGTATAAGAAAAAGCTGAAACGGCTGAGCAGGAAACTGTGTTTATTTAGAACAAAGAAGGAGAATTGCGGTCAGTGACCATCTACACGGCTATTAGTGGCAACATCTCCATGCCATTCAAGTAGGGCATGAAGTTTCACAGACAATGAAAATGATAATCAAAATGATCAATTCACAAAGAGACAGGAGTGAGTGGAGCTCCGGCGCCAGTACAGCAACCGAGACCCCAACATGTTATGACAGCCCCCCTACAGTTAGCCCACTTTATCCTTGAAATATTACAACTTTTTTTCTCAAAATATTACGCCTTTTTTTCTCGAAATATTATGACTTTTTTTTTCAAAATAGTATGACCTTTTTTTCTAAATATTACGACTTTATTCTCGAAGTCTACTATTTTTATTTTTATTAACAGTGGCCCTAAAACACCGTCGTAGAAAGCGCCCTGAACAGTAGAAGTATGATTTTCTCTTGGAAATGTGTTAAAAGTACAAGCATTCAATGTCATTAATTCCCAAGTTAAAGTACAGACCTTCTAAAATAGTCCATATCTAAGTCCATTTTTGAGGTATTTTATTCTTTCCATATTCTTTTCAACAGTCATAATTAATTTGGTAACACTTTAGGGTGCTGTTCATAAGGCTACATGACACCTACGTAAGCTTGTCTTGACAAGTGACATAACCCCATATCAGCGTTTATAAATTCTTATTCCAATAGGCAGCACCTGTCATAAAGGCTACTTTAGCTAACTTCAGTCAAAACTGGCAAATATGACCCTTATAGCAAATGATGCCTATTGGAATAATAATGGAATAATTTATGTAGGGTTATGTCAGTTGTCATGACAAGCTTATGTAGGTGTAATATAGCCTTATGAACAGCACCCTACAGTAAAGTGTTACCATTCATTTTTACCAGCCATTTTCCAACCTATATGTATAAATAAGCTCTATTCAGACGGGACAGCCTGTATTGTGTCTTATTCAAAAAACTGTGTGGACTGTAACACAGCTTCAGCGTGAATGGGCGCGGCTAAACTGCTGTATGCTGAATAGGCAGACGTTTGCGAATGAGGTTGTTTTTTGTGACATAAATTCAGGATGAGCTGTTTTTGCAGCTTAGTTTTCATATGTGGACTGTACGGACTGGGGAGTGAAACTTTGAGTTTATATATTACATCAAACTCTCTTATTTCAAGAAAGTGAGGAATATTAGGATTGCATAGACGAAAGACCTTTAAATAGAGTGACGCGGGTACAATTAAGAGAGTCAGCAAAAGTCTCTCAGTTGGTGCTTTTCACTTCATTCTATTTCAAGTCATTATTTATGAAATGATTCGGTTCTTGCCTCAGACTAAAGTCATGTAATCTTTGAAACAGTTGAAATGTTTGGAAATATGAATAGTGCTATTGGAGTAGTGCTAACTTTTGCATGTAAATCAGTCTTTTACCTCAATTATGTTATCATCATCCTTAGAAGTCTTTTGTTTTATTATACTATTTAGCGATAATTGCATTATTACATAACTAATTACATAAGTGCCATTTATGTTCTTTGTATACAGGTTTGAGTCTGTATTTCTTCCTTTTTTCTATTTATTTCAGTGTCGAAATATGACACAAACACGGCAAAAAAGACTTCTCATCAAATTCAAATCAGCATAAAATATTTCCTCTTTTACTGAAGAAAACAAATGTCGTGTTGACTGAAAATTTTGAATCTGCACTTTTGACAGAACATCTCTGCTTGTTTCAATGAGCCACAACTAAGAAGTAATTAAATTATGTGTCATCAATGGGACAAATTCCATAATCATGATGTTTAATCACTACTGCCTGGCAGTGTGGAGGAAAATGGTGCCAGTGAAAGAGGAGAGAGTGAATAGCGTGTGTGGCTGTGGAGAGAGTTAGGGGTCAGAGTGAGTGCTCTAAGTGATCTGTTCAACAATAAGATTTCATCAGTTAAAACTGCAAAATGCAGCTCACGCCTCCCTGTAGAGACGATGCTTTCTCATGTTATTGCTTGCTGAACCCTCCAATTAGCTCAGTATTTAAATCGCTTCTCTCTCTTCCCCTCTCTCTCTCTCTCTCTCTCTCTCTCTCTCTCTCTCTCTCTCTCTCTCTCTCTCTCTCTCTCTCTCTCTCTCTCTCTCTTTCCCTCTCTCCCATGTATGTTTTCCACCTATCCTATCAACAGAGAGGCTGGCGAGGAAAACTGGGACACGGAGGGCTGCCAAACACTCCCGTCCCCGGCAGTCCACACCAAATGTCTCTGCAGCAAGATCTCCACCTTTGCAGTGTTAGCACAGAAAGCTAAAGACCCGGTGAGTGCCACCTTTACCTTCACACCCAGCACACCTCTCAGATTCTGCTCTGCAGCATCATGGTGCATGGCCTAGCTACCACGAGGAACCTTTTAATCGAGTGGTTTTGTTGAAAGGTTCTTTGGGGAACCAAAGGTGGTTCTATGGAATCGTTCCAAAGAACACCTTTTATTTTTAAGACTGTAGACACTGATCTCCAACAGCAGCGCCGTATGGGGTGATGGGAATGAAATTTTTCTAGCGCTTTCTGCTTCTACGTTAAATACTTTGATTTAGAATCATATCACAGAGAATTGTCTCGTATTACACCTTTGTTTAGCGGGCGGCTGGGTGGGTAATGAGATGAGAGTTATGCAGCGACGTGTCTTGTGGTAAACACAGGGTAAACACGGTGTTCTTTAGTAATGATTCCACTGTCAGAGCTGTTGAAGTATCAGGCTGAAAGATCAGGACTGTCATGCTCATCAGCATCCAGAAGCAGGCTGTTAGATTGCTCTCCACGACCTTGGCAGGAGGTGGAAGGTGGGTGGGTGTCATATGATCAACGATCCATGATTTTTTTTTTATTCTTTATTTATTTATTTGTTTTTTTGGGATGTGAGTCTCTGCTGCTGAGACTTTTGAATAAATAATGATGTGTATGGCAGCTGTAGGCAGCTGAACATTCATTTATGAGACGGTAAAGGCAAGTGTCTTTATTTTCTAGTGTGAGATTATTAAGTTGCTTGGCTTGCTTTGTCCTGGCTTTAGTTTCAGGACATTGTTTATTTGCAGTGGTATGCAAAAGTTTGGGCACCCTTTTTCAAAATTTCTATTTTTTTTTTCTCCAGTATGTTAAATTTAGCAAATAAACAGTAATTGTGCACAAAAATTTTGTTGCCAGATTTAATTTTGTTGTTTGTAGAGGATGTTATACCTTATTTTTGCTTAGAATATCAACAAAACATGTCATTGTGTTCAAACTTTTACATATGATTGTACTTTTTTTTGTCCTGCAATGCAGTGATAGGCCTTGGTATTATATATTGTAATGGTATTCTGGTGAATTCTAACTCTATTTGTTTCTGTCACAGAATATATATATATATATATATATATATATATATATATATATATATATATATATATATATATATATATATAATATAATATAATAATATATAATTGTTTTTAACATCATTTAAAAAACATCAGCTACTGTTTACATTGTGTGAGAATTTCAAAACAAAAGTTTATTTGTCTTTTTTTCAAGCCAGATAAATTATTGCCTAAAGTACTATAAATTTCACCAGCAAAGGCCTTAAGATAGAACAATTACTGTTATGTTAAAAAATAGTAATTCATAGCTGCTTTAGTTAAGTCAAGCACCTGCTTTACCTTTCAGAGCACCACAGACTGCACCATATTTTCATATGGCCTTTCAAGCTGACATAGCAGAGATGCCTCTGAAGTCACATGCGCAGGAGCAGTGAAAATGCACAAAATCTGCAATACGTGTTTGGTATGGAGGCATGAATAGGAATACTTATCCAAGTATCACATGCTGGGTTACATGCCTTTCAGCATGGCGATTTCAGTTCCTGTGTACTGAATGTATTTTGATACTGCAGTAGTGAACATACTTAAAATGATAGCTGGTTATGTATTGTGTAATATGTTGTTTTTAAGGGTGAGTATTCAGGTACTTGTTAAGAAATACCAAAGCCTGTAAAGTGCTGTTCGGACCAGCCTTGGGAGATATGAGGTTTCATCCTGACAGTGGTGTATTAGTCCGTGATCATATAGATTTTTATTTGCTGTAAGTAAATAGCTGCTGAGCTACTGTAGCATTTTAAATATTAGCCTCATTAAAATAATGGAACTCTGAGGCTACCTTTTTAACCTGGACCGAAAGTCTGCTTAAATGATAAATGTGTTTTTCAGAGACTAAAGACATTTGACGTCATTTGTAACAGCAGCGTATCCTCAGTCTGCTAAAACTAATAGCAGGCTCTGAGAGTGATGTGACCTTTTTGCCCTTTATCCATTCTGATTAATTTCTATACCGCTTTTTATCGCATTGACCGGCTCCCCTGTGCTGAACCAACAGAGGACCCACCATATGGCCAGCGCCTACCCAGGCCCAGGCCCATGCTTGCCCTCTCTCTCTCTCTCTCTCTCTCTCTCTCTCTCTCTCTCTGTCTCTCTCTCTTTCTCCTCCACAAGTCAGGAGTGGGAGAGAGGCTGACCCACTTTTGTTTAGCGTGGTAGCATGTTTTTTTTTTTTCTCTTCTGAAAGCACCCCCATTAAAGTGATTGATATGCACGGCGGGTGAAGGGGACACTGGGAGATGGAAAATAGCCCTGAGGAATGAGCAATATGGGGCGGGGAAAGTGGAGCCAGCGGCCAGTCACTGTCACCCAGGAGCTGGACCATGCACAGCTGGCTAGTGCCAACAATACTGCTTTCACTGAGCTCAGCCAGAGGGAGCGTGGCAGTCACTCAAACATACACACCCACAGAGAGAGAGAGAGAGAGAGAGAGAGAGAGAAAGAGAATGTCTGCAATTTCTTAAAAAAAACAATATTCAAGAATGTAGCAGCATTTTCAAAGCACACATGCAAATTCCATAAGAGTCATTCAGAAACACTAAAAACAATTGTCAGGAATGTAGCTGAATTTACATAAACACAGAATCCACTTGTTAATGGAATGGCATCTGAATATTGTAGTTTGCTCATTTGCAGTCACAGCGCTTTTCAAGTGAGCAATAGAGATGAGAATTTTAACCACTTTTTCTATCTGAATATCTGTATTTTTAACCCCTTAAGTGTAAATTTCTGCCTTTTATCTACACGTCTGCTTTAATGGCATGATTTCTCGACGCACAAGGCAGAGAATTTATAGATGTTTATTAATGTTACTTGGTTTCATGTCAAATACCTTTCTGAACAAGAATGCACATAAGTAGGAACAGTCATGTGCAAAAGTTTGAATAACCCTGGTCAAAGTACATGTTTTTGTTGATTTTCTAAAGGAATTAAGGACTTCTACATGGACCAAACAAAAAAACAATAAATAAATAAATTAAAAAAAAAACTTAAATGTGAGGGGTTTTTTTTATTATTTTTGCTCATTTTAGTGCACAATTTCTATTTCTATAGTCCAACATATGAAAAAATAAAACATTTTTTTTTCAGTGTGTTAAATTCATCAAATAAACAGTGCTTATGCATTAAAACGTGCAGAAGTGTGTTCTTTGTAGAGGATGGTTTGACTGGGCCCCCAAGCTTTTGCATATGACTGTAAGCCACAAGTCAGCTGTGTTTTATTGTTACTCTGACTAAACAAAACCACATTAAGTGCTTACAGAATGGCTATGCAAAACTATCTAAATTATGCTCTGAATGAGCTTGTATGCTTTAGCCACCTCTGTGAACAAACACGCATGTGCCATAACTCCTCTCGTGGCAGATTTAAATGGCCAGTCTCTAAATGCATCACCAGTGAGATGTTCAGTTTGATAAGACTTTAACAGAGTATTCGAATATCACAATAAAAAATGCTGTATTTCAATATATTTTATTTATATTAATAATAATGTACAAAAACACAGACACTTTAACATTCATTTAATCCTTGTGTGGTGTTGGGGTCTGTGGGACCCGTTTTCAATGTTTACCAAAAGAAAAAAAGATGCAATTCATTATTATTTCAACCTCAGATTCCTTGGCCTTTGCTCATTATCTGTAAAGAACATATAAAATAACATGTGCGGGGAATAAAAGTGCGGAGGTGCTGTGTCCTTCACTCTGTTCTCCTCCTACTTGGCCTGCTGTTAGTGTGTGTGTGTCTGTGTTTGCACATGCGTGTGTGTGTGTGCGAGAGTGGACAACATAGGAAGGCTGCTGACTGGCTACAGCTGCTAAAGGAGAACCCTACATTGGCCACCTGTGATATTTGAAACATGGTATTTTTACATACATCGTTATGGCTGTATTGATTTTAAAAAACAATAATGTGGTGGGTTCACCAGACCACTGAGTAACAAACACATCAACACCACACAAGGGTTAATGCATGCAGCTAGCCTAAGAGGTGGTCCACACCTGAGTGTTAGGTTAATTTAGAAAATTTTCCTTGTGACTTAGCATGTGGCCAGCTGACCTGTGAACAATAACTTTGCAGTGTACAAATCTGCCACCTTTTTGTTAGAACTATTTTCTATAGTTCTGTCTATGTCACCATTTCACTTAAAGTGAGATTCAGTTCTTTGCAGTACTACGTCACACGCTTAGTCAAAAACATATTTCAAAAGTTTAAAATATGTGTTTCACTAACATGCCTTATTCAAATAGATGATTAAATAAACCAGTGATACATACATACATCATCTAAACCGCTTATCCTTCTGGGTCGTGGTGGGGTGCTGGAGCCTATCCCAGCTGTCATTGGGCAGAAGGCAGGATACACCCTGGACAGGTCGCCAGTCCATCGCAGGGCTAAACCAGTGATGAGTTTATAATCTGTATGTTTGTATAGGTCTGCCCATTCCTACGGACCAACTGAGAGTAATAAGATAAGATGTTTAGGTGTGCATGGAGGTGTGGAGGAAGAAAATCCAGGCACAGTGAAAAAAGCCAAGGCCTGGATAGGTGAAGTGAGAGGTGTTAGAAAGGCAGGGAGAAAACAACAGTGGTGTACTGACAGAAGACAGGAGCTGAAATAGAAGATGCTGCTGAAGGAGTTCTGACTGCAGCTAGAGCGGTCAAGAGGAAAACTCTGGCACTGACGCCTCTATGCTGCGCTGAGCTCTCTATTCTCTCTGAAAATCGCTGACTATCAGCCTGGGGTTCCTGAATTTAGTTGGGAATTCAGAGGGGTTTTTTGAAGATCTGTCATTCATGCTTGTGTTTCTGCTTTTTTCTTTCTGGGGAAGAAAAGCCCTTTTACACCAGAGCATCAAGGCCTGCTGTTTCCTTTCATTTCGTATATGCTGAGCTATTATCAAACACGTCTG